GCGACGATAATTCTGAAGAAAAAAATGTGAAGAAAGATTAACTTTCATAAAAAAAATCTGTATTTTTTTTTTGTAAAATTTTTCCGTATAAATTTAGAAGGAATATGTTAAAATTATATTTTTCTGAAATTTAATAAACTCTTTTTTATGCAATTTTCGTTATATTGTAACTCATTGATTTAGTTTTATGCGGTTTTAATAAATTATGGAACGTATCCTTTATTTTTATACGTGTGTCCAGTCCTTTTGCATACAGTCTATTTGCATACAATAAAAAATTGAAAGATAAAATATTAAAATATATAAAAAGGCAATTCTATTTTTTTAAAACCTCTAATTTATTTCGAATAAAATAAACAAATAATAACAATAAAAAAAGAAAAAGGTATCAAATAATTTAAGTTACAAAGAGAATAGTAAAAGAAATAATTCAAAAAAATAACAGTAGATAGAAGAATATCATAAAATTGAACATAAAAAAATCTAGAAATCAAATGATATATGATGATACAGTTTAACAGCAAAATTACTACAGTCTCTCAGCAATCGGACACTTTTCAACCTCTAAAAATAAACGCAGAAAAATTGATGACAGACCTTTTTCTACGTTTGTTTTTAAACATACACATTTTTCGGGCAAATTTTTAAGTGCAAAAGAGATCGCTGACCAAAAAGTTTGAGAAACACTGATTCAAATAACAGAAAGATCGTTAGCAGTGAAATATTAAATATGCATAACCAAAATTGTAGTTACATTCTGAGATACCGCCTTTATATATATATTTCATTTTAATGAACAATGCCATGAAAATAGAAAAGACTTGTATGAAAAAGAACGATACGTTGGTTTAATATTTGATTAGCTTTTATGAAAGTTTCGTAAACTTTTCTTGCGAATTAAAATGAATTTGAAAATGAAATGAAGCGTTCGTTTTACTTTACCCATTATCAATACTTAATTATTGAGTTAAGAGCTAACAAATACATTTATTATAAGGCTTTAACTAAAAAATGAGAAAGTAGGCAAAAATAAAAAAAAAGTTTATAAGATTAAAAAGCGAATTACTTAACTCTAATTACCTGATGATGTGTATTTCAAAAAATATAATTCTAAGTCTTTAATTAAATTTGTCAACATTTGTCACGATAACAAAACTCTTAATATTTATAGAAACTTTTAATACAATTATAATTCTATAAATAAAATCTTATTCAATCTTAATTTAAATATGCATTACATTTATTCTTAGCCAGGATCATAAATAATGTTTGTTTTTATTTTATTTGAAAAAAATAAACATAATGTGTACTGTTAAATGAAAGAATATTTCTTACCTGTTTTATGCGCTATAAACTATATTATTGATTTTAGTTGTTGTGCCTCAGTCCAGGAGCGAGAGTTTCTTCCATACAGGAACTAAAGCAAATTCGATGTCTGCAGAAATTCGACTCGGACTTGGTCTTTCAGAGGAAGTATCAACCGTATTTCATGCCACCTGTAAGTACACAGTTTCTTACACTTGTTAACTACTTCAATAATAGTAATTTAGATTTTATTTTAATAATAATAATATTTGCAAGTAATCAATTCCGGACTGTTTCAAACTTATCGAGGAATTTAGCACAACATGAGATTCGAAAAGGAAAAAAAATGATTTTTGATAATAAAAAAAATAATGTTGTGTATTAGAATTTATTTATTATTTTACTAAATTAAAACCGGACAATAGTGAATCCGGACTGATCGAAACCATGGTATGTGAAATACTTTATATTATATAATCATTTGAATATTTAAAAAAAAAGTGTGGAGGCGCTGGGTTATATCGATATTTTCAGATGGAATGTATGCAGCGCCGCGGCAAGGGTAGGTGCCAATTGCGCAAGTAATAGTATTATTTTCTTCAGGGATTTAGCCGCTTTGAGTTCTTACATATTTGGCCGCAGGCGCAAGATTTACTTGCTGCGATTCTGAATGTATGAGTGCTTATATTTTATAGTAAACGAGCGGAGTTTTGTTTTGTTTTATTATGATTTGATTTATATATATATAAAAAAATTATCAACAAAATATGGTTTTTTCTTTAAGACATTAGTGCATCAATTACCAGCAGCATTACCAAACAAAATTTAAATTCCATCGAACACTGCAAATGTCCTTACAAAAGTGCATAGAAGATATCTTTTGTACTATAAAAGATATAAAATTTATAGTAAAGCAAACAAACACATTAGAGATGACTACATCAACATTACTTTGAAAAAATACGACCACTTTCAGCATGATAGTTACAAACTATATAAAAGGAACGCACATCTAATAGATCAATAGTAATACTATTTATAGTGAATAACATTTTTCCGAAACATTGTTTGTATAATTTTTTCTTAAATTCTTGAGAATAGTTTAAATAAATATGTTTTAAACTTTAATTTTTTTTGGCGGTTGACATTAGGTAATCTTTCCCGGTCGATAGTTACCATTATAATGATTTTTTTTATTATTATTTTTATTTGTAGGTTGACTGTCGTCTTGTAGATTAATTTCAGTAGTATATAGATGCTATGCGATTCCACTATTTCCTTTCACTGTAAATCTGCTGCTATCCTTAACACTGTCATTGTCCATCGACTTGGCTGAAGGTCCATATGCTGAACTTCATTCATTGCATCTGTGACGAACGATGCTGCAAGCACCGCCGGTTTGATCGTGGTAGGGCGACTTAACCATTCGGCTATTAGTCGCCCTAAACTTTTAAAATGCAAATAAAAATATATAAATATAAGAATTTTTAAATAAGAATATACCAGAAACATCAAATCTAAAGAATTCAAAATTATAGCGTTTTTGATAAAAAGTATGAATTTTCCGAAATTGTAGGTTTGGTATAAAAAAATTTAAAACTCCGACTTGCTGTGTTGCATACTTAAAAATATTGTATATGTATTTATTTCTATAACCGGTGGCAATCGCAAGCCCGACAACCGAAATACCGTCAATCATATTCCCGACGTTTGAAATCCCGACTGTATCAAAATCTCGACAACCATAATCCCGACTATATCGAAAATGTCTTCTTTTATTCACTTTTAAATTGTTACTAATTATATTTGAGATTATTTCATAATGTAAACAAATATTTACTTCCTATCAGTGATTTCAAAGAAACATGACCGTTTTTCCTAGAATAAACAAATATTTACCGAAGACCATTGGTTTTATAGAAAACACGTAACATTGAAATCAAATATGAACACGATACAACAAAAATCAATAATTATTAAACTTATTGAATTTATTATAAAAATAAGTATTATCATGAATAATAATTACAACATTAAAATATAAGAAAATAATCAAAATATTTTATCAAATTTATTATTTACTACAAAAGAAATTCATACTATATGAATACTAATAATAACAACCATATAATATAATTAAAAATATTCATTATTCGAAAATAATCTAAGAATAATTTAACTACTTATAAAAAATTGCTAAGTTTCTTTAAATTGAATGTCATTATTTGGATCGAAACAATTACACAATATTAAAATAAAGTTTATAATTTGACTATAAAACAAATTGAAATATTTCAACCATAATTAAGCAACTTGTGCCAAATATTTAAATTTATAAAATTCATCTTACGTGCTATATATTTTATAAATTAATTATAATATGGCTGAGTGACGGTTTCAGATAAATAAATGCAGCAATCCCTCGCACAGTGCAACTTCAATCAGTCCGCATTCACTATAGTCCGGTTTGAAAAACAAACTAAATTTTAATTGGCAAAAATAATATTTTTTTTTATATACATGTATGCTCGTTTATTTTTTCTATACAGTCAAGTCTCTTGTTATGCTGTTTTTATACGGTTAAAGGATTTCATACAGAAAAAAGTGGTTGAATAGGAACTAGACACAACACACTTTATTAATGGTTCTTTTTATTAAATTAGAACAGGTTTTAACTTTTTAAATGTTATTATTTGTTTATTCTTTCAGAGGGATCATTTAAACTGCGATCCGACATTCGAGCTAGAGGAGATGATCATCGAGACGAAACCTCTGCACAAGAAGAAGAAACGATTGGCCAAACAGCGATCCGTCAGGGAAATCCATACGACGGTCAGTGTGCAAGATCCGAGCAAAATTTATTACGTTCGCGAGACGAAAATCGAATGAATAGAATAACTTCTATGACAAGAAAAGGAGACGAGTTTTGCGATTGCGAGGGGGAGATTTCAGTAATAAAGCGAAAAACGAAAATCAATCAATTCAATTGGAAGACGACCGGACGTCTGATAAAGAGAGAGATCCATCCATATCGGATTTTCTCGTATACATAATAAAATATATATTGAACAAATCGGAAAAAGAAAACAAAATGCTTGAAGTCGAATGGAAAATGTATTTCCTTTAAATTCGGGTTACCAATATCTCTCAACGGAATTGTTTCCTTTTGTTGCCTCGCTATTGTTATCGAATACATTTTGCGGAAAAGAAATCGCAAGAGACTACTCTCTGTAATTGTTGATTGAACATTATATGTTGTGCAGGAAGGGGATTCCCCGATGGAGCCAAAGTCTATGATTCCAGAGTTTAAGATCTACAACAGGTATCAAGAGTTGGAGCGAAGAGAACGCGAGCGTAAGGAGCAAGACTGGGAGCGCGAACTGCAGCAGGCCATGAACCTCTCGAATCCTCTGGACAATGGTCCAGAGACAATGCCCACGTGTCTAAGCTGTCCGAAGCTTGACGAAGAATCGGAGCCAGAGGCATCGCCATCGACGCCAATCTCGAAACTTTCCAAATCTTCGGCGAGCTGCGATTCGACTTCTGGGCCTAAATACAAATTGAGGCACGGCCTCTTCAAGCACAAATCCTCCGGTGACAAGGCAGAAGAGACAAAGAAGAAAGGAGGTGCCAACGATATGCAAAGTCGCATGCAGGGATTGGATTTTATTGATAGGACACCCTCTCCGATGGATAGAGTCGAAGGCACCTAAATAATCTAATAACGAAACATCTAAATATATATCTAAATATACATATATATTATAAAAGAACAAGTATACTTTATAGGACCAAAACTTACTTATTATATATAATTGTATTATTTTTTCTAATAAAAGGCTGCACGAGAAACTGTAGATATAACTGGAGTTTTACTAAATCTATTTCAATGAAAAATATACTATCGTTATTTTTGAATCTTTATGGACATTCATAAACACCTTCTATTAAGATAAATAAATGATAATAAGTAAATGATCATTGTTTTTATTTTTTTGTAGAGGAAACCTTACCTCACTAAAACCTCTCCCCTTTTTTTGTCAGCATACAGGACTTGTACAGGTGTACAGAGCCTATACGATGCTGATTGCCCATGCATGTCACTTCCCTTGGTTCACTTACTTGCGTCAATGCTGCCACTAGCTTCATAGGCCCTCTGCAGCCTCCACTTGGCTTCTTTAATAAAAAAAACACATCTGTTACATGCTGGGCCTAGGTCAGACTATTAATGGAGACCCCCAGATATTTAATGGCTTTCTTCAGTGTTATCTCTGTGCCTGATATTGTAAATTTTGTTGGTCTTATTATTCCTATAATAGCACCGCTTCTGTCTCTTCTGTCACGAGTGTCAGACCTCTCTCAGACATCCATCTGCCTAAAATAAAATTAAACAAGTACAGAGCGCAAATTATCTGTCAACAGAAAACTTTATTTTAAGAAAATAATCGATGATCTTAGCTCGATATGTCATGAAACGAATCATTCATAAAATTAGTCGTCAACTAAAATTGTTGTGTAATGTAATACATTAACGCGAGTTCTTTCCTCTTGAGCTTAGATAGGAAAAGGTGGCTTACAGAGATTGAATAAAATTACAAATTCTCTCTAAATGTTTGAATAAATATCTACAAATATGAAAGTATTTCAGAACTCTTGTTTTTAATTTTGATAATTGCATGT